AAAGGTGCACCATAATCAGAACCATTACCACTGCACTGGGGAGGCTACATTTCGTAAATAGCAGCCCCAGCTAACTGCCGAACGGCCAGCCGCTGAATCTCCCCTGTCGTTGAGGCCTTTCTGCCCACCTTACACCATGAAACGACAAAGAAAAAAAGAACAGGCATATCACATATTCACACAAAAGATATCACTCTATCGGATTGCTTGGGAATATGATGGCAGGTTACTAACAGATGATGGTGAACACTAGCAAGTGAACATGAATCATGAAAGTGAACCAGCCACACAGTCCATAATAGATAACTAGGACTGGTGGCTGGGGCTCCGGTCTCAAGGTTCCTGTGTCTTCACAAGGTACTGTTGGATGGCCAGGGGCTGCTCAACCTGTGGCCTGCAAAGAGTAGAATATAAAAACCCTCCAACGCACAAGCACACACGAGGGTCACCACACTCATTCTCAATTTTTACTTATGTACACACGAGAGTAATATCCGATCCCAGATTTTTTGGATTACACTAATGTATTTTAGGGGAAATATATTCCTAAACACAAAGTTCATCTACAAGTATGGCAAGTTTTGAGGCCTGCTTCTTTCAACAATAGGCAAGTATGACTACTGAACGGGCCTTCCTCTTTTTTTTTCTACTTTCAGTAATATTTGTTAGGCAAATATACAGATCCCATTCATTTTGACACTCGGGCAGGCGCACCACGCATCTGTGAAAGCAGAGCCCATACGCCAATATCTGCAAAGATAACAAAACAAACAAAAACAAATTACCATCACAAAGCAACAAGGCATCATTATAAGCATGCCTGCACCACAACTTGCTTTGTGAAGGAACACTAGAAATGGCTTCATATCTTCCTTAGCTATTTAAAGTCTCTTACTCTTAACAGTACTGAGAGGGAAAAACATTATGGTTTGTAAAATGAAAGCTTGATTTTGTTTATGAAAATGCTCTGACAAAATGAAAGGTAACAATATGTCTGCCCTAAGTAGTGTGGAGGACTGGGGCGCAGCAATGGATGATCGGCATCAGCCAAAAGGATCGAACACTAGCGATCATTTGAGTCGGGCCAACCTGTAAAATGATAAGAAGAGAGAAGAAGACACAACATTAGTGTGGGCACCCTTTTTACAGATGGTACACCCTCTTCTGCACACTTGCCACTTCCATCCCTTTTGACTCCCACAGGACACTTCTCTCTCTCCACCTATCCCAACCCTAACTTGGGACCCAACTATACCCACATCCAACTAATAGACTCCCAGCTGATCGACTTAATAACCTCACACACACACAAACAACTATATACATACACTTACACAAACAAACACATGCACACACCAACACATTCACAAAATATGATCACACCATATTTGTAAAATTCATTCTCTCCATAAAAAAGGGGAGGAAAAAGTTTGAGGCCTTTAATAAAGTAGAAATGTAAGAATCTCCTGTGACGTAAAATGGCAGCATGGAGAACTATTACTCTTCTGCTTCATTTAAAAAGTAGAAAAATCACGCATCTTCTTGACTTGCAACCTTGCATTAACGAAAGTTTAGTTCACTGTTTCAAGCGATTGTGCACAGAGAATCCAAGTTAAAATTTAAACTAATACATTCCTTTAGTACTGCTAGTCATAGTACACATAGCAGGAACACCCTAATCTAATAACAAATAACATGGTATTCAAGCCATCTCTGCCAATGTCTTTTTCCCACCTAAAATTTTGTTAAAAGTCCTAAGGTGTATATCATTCACAACTCATCATTCTCAAACCAAACTAACACCACTTCCATCTTGGTCTTGGTAAGGATCGTGTTCTAAGACAAGTGAGCTAAACACTACGCCTAATAACTTTTAGTTTGGTGGGAGTGGGAGGGGGGGGGTTATCATTTAGCAGCAACATCCAGTCACTGTCAGCGTCATGCAGCCAGTGAAAAAGACAACACAATTTCACTGCGCAGTTTTACCTTGCTTTGTATTCCACTAAAACCTGCCTCCCATTTTTCTCCTTTGCTTTCCTGCAAGGGCTCCTGTGCAAGTACGAGACAGTGATTTTCTTCACAACAGTGGTTGCAAACAATGGTTTTGCAGACTTCAGAATTTTAAAAATGGCGAAGCCTTTACATGTATCAAGGCAATGCATTTCTGGCAATTCAAGTAACATTTTGCTGAATTGTTAATTCATAATGAGCCCTTAAACTTTTCATAGACCAATCAAACAACTTTTTATTGACCTCTCATTCCTCCAATAAAATTTAAAATGTTTCACAGATCACCCTATGTTCAGAAGATAACCATGACAACAGTATATCAATAAACAAGAAAAACAATGATAACAAAATAATCTTACTGATAATAGTAAAAAAGAAGAAACAAGGTGACACTAATATTTATCTTACTATTATATAAAAATATAAGAGGAATAGACATTTATGCGAGGAAAAATTAACCATAATCATAATAAACAGTTTATGCGCCATGGCGTTAAAGGAACATTCAATTTATTTATATGCAAAGAAGAAGAAAAAGAGAAAAGAAGATAAAACAAGGAAGAAATGGAAGAAAAAGAAGAAGAAATAGGAGAGAGAAGAAGGAAGGAGGAGTTGGAGGAGAGGAAGAGAATGAGGAAGGAAGAAGAGGAGGAAGAAGAAGAAAAAGGAAGAAAAGAAAAAAGAAAAAAGAAAAAAGAAAAAAGAAAAAAGAGAGAACAAAGAACAAAAGAAGAAGAAGAAGAAACGATAATAATCACATGCAAAAATTCTTTTATTAAATGCACGAGGAAATATGGATCCCCTGTCCAGAAGAAATGCAAACTTTTAAAGATAAACAGATATTATTACTATTATTTGGACCGTCATAAAGATCAATCACCCCCTTTATTACCATTATCTATGTTTGATATTAATTTCTCATCTGCTATTAATGTTTTTCTTCTTACTTCACTGTGAAGCTCTTGTACTATCACAAATTGGAACATCAATAAAATAACCATATTGCAATAACAACACAAGGATCAACAACAAAGTAAATGATAGTAATAATATTAAAATGTTAGCCTATGGAGTGTAATTTTTTTTTTTTTCTTTTTTATATATCATTATTAGAAGCTTGGAGAGAGATAGTAAGGGTATCACTGTGAGTGATAATAAATAAATACGTAAACAATACAAATAATCAATAAATAAATAACCAATACAGATAGAAAATAAGGAAGCCAGAAATAAAGCTAACAAACGAACAGAAGAATAGAGGAACTTCCTGAGCTGTCCCTTGCACTCCACAGGTTAACAGCAATAACACACAACAGTAGTAAAGTTAAGATCTACAACAATACCCATAACAACAATGATACTAAAAATAAAAAAATTAATAAATGAAGGCAGTAAAAGTGTCTCTAAAACATAACATTATCTATCACTGGTAGAGTTTTCCCTTATTTATAAAGTCATGATCAAATACAGAATCTTTGACTCTATAGTACCCTCCACCCACAGATGCACAAAATGAAAAAAAAGTAAATCTTTTTTCATCTTATTTACTGTGCATAAACAAATGTAAGAGTGAGTGAGTGAGTGAGTGAGTGAGTGAGTGAGTGAGTGAGAGAGAGAGAGAGAGAGAGAGGAGGAGAGGAGGAGGAGGAGGAGGAGGAGGAGGAGGAGGAGGAGGAGGAGGAGGAGGAGGAGGAGAGAAGAAAAGAATAGAAGAGAAGAGAAGAGAAGAAGAGAAGAAAAGAAAAGAAAGGAAAGGGAAAAGGAAGAGAGGAAGAAAAGAAAGGAAAGGGAAAAGGAAGAGAGGAAGAAAAAAAAAGAAAGGAGAGAGAAAGGGAAAGAAGAGGAAGAGGAGCAAGTAACAGCGGAAGAATAATTAGCTATAAACAGGAAGTGGCTGTGGAAGGAGAGATAGAAAAAAGTACAAATAAAGTGGGACAGAAGATTAGGAAGTAAGAGGAGAAGGGATGGAATGACTATGCCAGCTGAAGAAGACACAGCTGCAGGAATCTGTATAGTGAAACAAAGAGGATGATTTGTAATGGCAGCTATTTCCCTCCCATTAAATGCATTATTCATTCATACTTGGGTCAACTTCATAGTATACCCTGCAAACTAATCCACAACAAACATTTCCCTACATACAATAGACAAGAAACACTTAGAAGAGAACAACTAATGATGAAGAGAAAGTGATGACAATGTGTACATCACACTAAAAGACAGTAACAATCAATAAATGTAACAGTAACTACAAAACATACATTTTCAGAACATAAAACATTAGAGGCAACCCACACATAACATCCAAACACAGTAAAACCAGTGCTAATCAATCAACAGAGGGAACTACAGAATCCTATAGCTCTAGAGTACAAAATTTCCAGTTCCCATTACATCCCATTTCACAGAATACATTATGGTCACAGAAAGTGGGATGAATGAAAATATAAATATTAAACACATAAATCATATTTTCATTTCACCTGAGGCTTTTACTCTCTCAGGCTTAACTTTTACCTATCAGCATGAATTAAAAGTAAATCTATTCATCTAAGTCCTCTTAACAATGCATTGCCCATATTGTGGTCCAAGCTCGTCCTTGAAGAATGCCACACATGATAATGCTTATGTGTATTTCACAAACCAGTCACCAAGAGAAAAGGAAAAAAATAATAATAATAATAATTATCGCTGCACCATAAGAGAAAATAGTACGTTCTTCACTCCACACTATCATCATCATATGGGTTATTTCGCTTTAAAGCAAAGACCTGACAATGCCATTCCCATTGTAAACTGGGTGTAGAATTTGCTATCAGACCAACTTTACATAGAAAATGCAAGTTAACAAAACAAAAAATTACAATTACCAATGTCCACTTTGGTAATACTTCCAATACTACAAAAAGATAAAATATGAAAAGCATATCAATATTCATGCACACTTTCATATTACATAATGGACTCTTGGGCCAGCTTTTATCATCTTTTAACCCTTTGTACACGGGCGGCAGGTAGACACATGCCACGGCTGTTTGTGGACAAAGTAGCTGATGGTATCGTATCATAACCATTTCCGTGCCGTTCACTCATTGGATGGAGCTTGTTTTTCTCCAGTAGTTGCAGCATCATTTCTATGCTAAAACTTTTAGGCAATAGCACCTAAGGTGAAGGCAAACCTTAAAAATATTTATACTTTTAAAAAATATCAAAATACAAACTTTTAGGTGCCTAATGTTGCTCGCAAACTACCAAACAAGCCGGGCACAAATGGGAAACTGTCAATGCACACTAACAATCCCACACCATGTCCACTTGCCAAAATCTTTTACCCGCTGTTAATGGGTTAACTGGCCTTTGTAATCCTTGTTTTGTTTCTAATTTCAAGCAGATTTCAAAACAAGTTAAATGATTCTCCAAAAAGTAGTTATCCCCCCCCCCCGTCCCCCCTTTTTTTTTAGGTCTGCCTATAAAAATGCATTTGACTATTTTTAAAAACCAATATGCTTTTTTAATAGACAAGAGCCAACATGAAGAGTAAATCATCCTCAAGCAAGAAAAGGAAATGCAATTTGAACAAATGAGAAGTGATTATCATCTTATCTGGCAAAAGATGACTAAAGACATTTATATAAAAAAATTAAGAGCTTTAAATCTTATTGATTAAAACCATACAATTCTAAAAGAAAGCACATTTCCAAAATTAAAATGACATCTAATATATTTCAGGATTCCAACAAAAAAAAAAACAATTGATTTTATTAATATTTACACTGAAGACGCAAATCACAAACATATATTATCAAATCATGCTAAATGTTATATGTTGCCGTAACACATGTTCAACTAAATTAAAGTAGAGACTACAGATGGCCACTGAGAACACTGGTCAACAGCATTTTTTATGTTTTAATGCAATTTCTCTATAATAAAAAAGGTGTTTATGTTTATGTTTATGTGTGTGTGTGTGTGTGTGTGTGTGTGTGTGTGTGTGTGTGTGTGTGTGTGTGTGTGTGTGTGTGTGTGTGTGTGTGTGTTTTTGTGTGTGTGTGTGTGTGTGTGTGTGTGTGTGTGTGTGTGTGTGTGTGTGTGTGTGTGTGTGTGTGTGTGTGTGTGTGTGTGTGTGTGTGTGTGTGTGTGTGTGTGTGTGTGTGTGTGTGTGTGTGTGTGTGTTTTTTTATGTGTGTGTGTGTGTGTGTGTGTGTGTGTGTGTGTGTGTGTGTGTGTGTGTGTGTGTGTGTTGTGTTGTGTGTTTGTGTGTGTGTGTGTGTGTGTGTGTGTGTGTGTGTGTGTGTGTGTGTGTGTGTGTGTGTGTGTGTGTGTGTGTGTGTGTGCGTGTGCATGTGTGTGTGTGTGTGTGCGCGTGTGCGTGTACAAGTGCATGTGGGTGTGAGTGCGCGTGCATGTGTGTGCGCGTGCAAATGTGTACGTGTGCATGTGTATGTGCGTGCATGTGTGTGTGTGTGTGTGTGTGTGTGTGTGTGTGTGTGTGTGTGTGTGTGTGTGTGTGTGTGTGTGTGTGTGTGTGTGTGTGTGTGTGTGCACGTGCATGTGTTAAGAATAAATTCTAAGCATATGAGAAACCAAACTATAAAAAATCAACATTTTACATTCTACAAATATCAATACAAAAAATAAGTATAACACATGACAAAATACATATCTCAAATGTATTTCCTTCCAGAGGAATTTTTCAGTTGCAAAGACATCGGGTCAAGAGCTTTTGTTTTCATTTTAAGAATCATTTGGCACTTCTTGTACATATCGATATGAATAACAAAAGATTTCTCAGACCTCCAGGATATCTAACTTCACCGCGAACGCTCAAGCACACACATTCCTGCTAACAGTCGTACTTTTGAATAAAAAAATATATATATATAAATAAAAATAAAGACACAAGTCAAGATAATAACAATGCCCCACTTCCCCATACCACAAGAAAAACAAATTATGAACAAGTAAATAAATAAACAAATATGCAGATACGCCATAGAAGGAGACCTCAACATCGATATAGATAGAACGTTGAACACCATGCATTGGAACCTTACCTTCATTAACTCTCATTTTCTTCTCGGCAGGTTGAATTGGGTCTGTTTCCCCATTCATCTGAAAAGTGAGGAAAATTGGAGTTAAAAGTACTGACAACCACAGTTTCAACCTGTAATAAATAGATTTGTCCCTGTCTTACATAATACTCCCATTCTGTTACCATCAAATGCTCATGTTTACTAAACAATGTTAGGTTTGTGCTTGCTTGTATAGCTTTAGCCTGGATTGCATAATGTTTTCATTTGCCAAATACCATCCAGAAATGAAGCATTAACTTTTAAGAATTTTATTCCCCATACTTTATTACATAGCTACTGCTCCTCAACATAATCCAACAAATAACTGCTTTCACACTAATAATGTAATCATAATGATTTTCTTATGCTGTTGAATAAACTAGGTATGAATGAATGTATTTGACTGGTTTCAATCATATCATGTATTTCTGATGAAGACATAATTGAAACCAGTTAATGATGAAGACATAATTGAAACCTGTTAAATACATCTCTAGTATTGTCAAGATATTTATTCTCATTCATAACTTTTTCTACATGCTCCACTCCAGTTGGTAAACCCCTCAATGCATGCTTAGTACCAAGTCACTGATCATGGTTATGAGTTTTAAGATGTTCATATTGTAATTATTTATAAATTCTGATGATTATTTCTCCTATTCATCTTTATGCAATGGATGCCCTAAGCCAGTGTATGTTGTACAAGATATTTTTCTAAAGAACAAAAAGTTGTCTGTCATTAGTATATGAAATAATCTCAAAACATGAATGATAACTAGAGAAGTATAAGAGACACATTGTGAAAAGCACCACTCACAGCATAAGTACATTCGGTGCTATCAAATTTCAGCTCTAATTTGCAATGCACACAAAGGTGAAGATAAGGTTTGCCAGGGAGGGAGGCAAAGGAACTTAGATTGTTTAATACATTTGGTGAAGTGGAGTTGAGGATTTAGTCTCTGTCGAGTTTGTCTGCACAGTAAAGAACTACCATTTCTAATATATTCAGTTTGGAGACTATGATAAGACTCCTCTCATGCTGAATTCAATGCATTTTAACCACATCTTAATGGTGCATGTCCAAATTTGGCAAGAATACCTGCCACACACATTTTGCTACTATTTGACACTGGGTGTAACTGCTCAAGAGATACAGACCCTAAAAAAGTGGGCAATTTTTTTAAGGCATTCAGGCCTTCCCAGACAATATGTATATCAATTTATTCTTGTGTAATGAGAACAAATCCCAAACAATAACTATATCAGATTTATTCTCGTGTGATGAGGACGAATCTCATGATTATTTCCATCACAATCAAAACTGACAATCTTGATGTGATAGCAGGACAAGGCAGGATGTATATCACGGAAATTAGGCAGTAAAAAAATGGTAATTGTTGAAGACCGCGACGCACCCTCGCAGAGACTAAGTCGAAAAAAATGGTTTTTCTGCATGAAATCCTATGATTTCATCGATTTTCGGCGTTGTTTCTTTTGCGAATGAATCGTTCAAGAGATCGAGTACCATTTCTCAATCGACGATCTTGATTTGATTGTCCCGTTAGCAGGGGAGGGCATGAAGTATATCAGGGAAATTATGGGGTCTTTCTAATCATCTTTTCCTGCATTTGGGGCACTTGATGGGCTATCAAGCTGAGATAGTTGCTATTTCTTCTCCATATATCATTTTAAAAATGACCCAGAATCAACTCACACTGAAAGCAAAACATTTTCCTACACTGGCAAACATCCTGAAGTAATTAAATCAAATACTTTTCTTGATCTGTTCTTGTGGGCAATCACCACACTAGTGGTATGGTATCCTCGCTGTCCACCATACAATGGAGGTCGAAGCCACACTGAATCCAAGAAGACTCATAGCCACGTGAATAGTAGTTTTTTGATGTGGTGATGGTAATGGTAAACAGTATTGCAGGTGAGATGTGTTTATTGTGTGGATATGACAATGTGGGTGCACGGGAGTAGAGCACTAATTGTGTTGTGCTATTTATTGGGGGAATAATGAAACTGAGTAAAAATGAAATTTTTGGGCAGGTGTTGTCGGGACCCGTGGACAGTGGACATTGGATGCAAAACAGGAACTTTGATTCTCATATCCTAGATGGAAATGGATACTGCCATCTTATAATACATAAGAAATAGAATCATAAACAACATAAGAACAGCACTACAGCCTCATATTTACATTGGAATGACAATAACATTCACTGTATGTCACTGCTCAGAGAGCAAGTCCCCAATACTCTCACAGTGCCAGTTCTTCATGTCCGTTTACTTAAAGTTGGAACAAAGTGCCAAGAAAGGGGTGTACAGGGTGGCTTGCCTCCCAGTCTAGAGAGTAAACAGAAGGTAGGTAAGCTTGGGTTTGGGATTTAAGTTTCGCAGGATACCCTAGTTATGTCTCTGAAGGGTGCATAGCTCTCAGCAACAAATACCTTAAACTGCTTCCCATGTTTCTAATTTTTTTAAAGCTGGGAGAGCCCATCACTATTGGGCTGAGACGTGAACTGGTTCAAGAAATTCACCAAGAGAGCTTCCTGCCCTTCACACTGTGTTTATCTATCTGCTTCACAGTCTATTACTACTCCTCTTTGCTCCTGACATCAAAAGAATTCCAATGATACCATAGCAGAGATATCTTAAGATGCAGACTTGTTCTTAAAGTACCGCATTCCCTGAACACAATAACATTGAGTGAAATAATGGTGAATTAGGCTCAAAAACGTCATTAAGCTTCAAACACCAACAAATTTACAGAACGTTCTGGGTTCATGAGCCGCTTACGTGTTCATATCACTGTTCACTGTCAATATCCTATGATGCGTGTTCAAAAAAATGTGTGAATTTCTCTTACATTGCGAGTTCTTCAGGTGCTCTCAACCCATTTCACACAGGGA